CATGACTCGAGTCTGACTCGAGTCCAAGTCACATGACTCGAGTCCACACCAGTCAGAGGTGGGACAAAGTCATTGTTATGCAAGTCCAAGTCGAGTCTGAAGTCATCAAATTCATGACTCGAGTCTGACTCGAGTCCAAGTCACATGACTCGAGTCCACACCTCAGAGGTGGGACAAAGTCATTGTTATGCAAGTCCAAGTCGAGTCTGAAGTCATCAAATTCATGACTCGAGTCTGACTCGAGTCCAAGTCACATGACTCGAGTCCACACCTCAGAGGTGGGACAAAGTCATTGTTATGCAAGTCCAAGTCGAGTCTGAAGTCATCAAATTCATGACTCGAGTCTGACTCGAGTCCAAGTCACATGACTCGAGTCCACACCTCAGAGGTGGGACAAAGTCATTGTTATGCAAGTCCAAGTCGAGTCTGAAGTCATCAAATTCATGACTCGAGTCTGACTCGAGTCCAAGTCACATGACTCGAGTCCACACCAGTAATAGCCGTAAAGGACTGGAAATGTTTTTTGTTGATCAAAAAATCGTGCAAATTCGCACACACGCACACCAATCGCTCCCGCGTTTCACAAAACGAGCACGACAAATGCACGTGCGAATGAAAACTAAAGAATGGCTTTGATTTAATTGAGGAAAAATGCAAAGATAAATGTGATCATACTTGAGCAGCTGAAACGTCTCGAAGTAGTACATGCGCTTGCCACTGAGGTGACAGTTTGAAAGGAATGTTAAATATCATTTCTGATCAATTGTATATTTGACATTACATAGTGTACTTAAATAGCTGTGGTGTCACGTGCCTGTAATCCAGTGTTTGAAAGCGTGAATTTGCAGATCCCGTGTATTTGTGGAACTTCCAAACCTGCTCTGTTGTGCGGTGGCAATGAGACGAGATCTGTGTAGACCTCTGAACGACGACTTCTTGTCCGCATGTGTTTGCTCCAGGAACATTAAGCATGTTCCATTCGACGTGCAAAACACTTCTTGAAAAAACAATTGACAATACTCGCCAAATTGCAATAGCCAAGTGAAGAGATCTTAAACAAATGAGAGAAAATGAGCACGGGAGCAGTGCTTACATTATCCTCGATTATTACTCTGCCTAACACAAACAGCCAAGGTTGTAAATGTAACTCTCAGATTGTAAATGTTGTAGCTTTGCTCTCCAACACACCGGTGTGCTGTACTCGTAACGAATTGGCACGTTCTGTTTACGTGACAAACCTTACTAGTTGGCTGTGTCGGGTGGTGGCGGGTTTAATGACACATTTATATATTTATATAATCTAACCCAAAAAAACTGTATTAAGGACAAAATCTAAGATTAAAAAAAACAAAAACACCAAAACTGATTTGCATAATTAAATTAATAATGTCTGGAAATACGTGTCCTATGGACAAAAAAGTGTTCCACACTTTAGCCTAGCCCCAAATAGCAGTGACCTTTGTAAAAAAAATGCTTTTAATAAAATGTACCATTCCGTGAAGAAATTAAAGTTGTATCACTGAGGGCTAGCATCCGTGTTGTAAAACAAAAAAAGCTGTTTCAAGTAGACTTGCAGTTTATATCGAAAAACCTACTACTTCAGCTTCTACCTGCTCAAAAATATCATTGTTCAAAAATACAATGGAAAAAAATCCACGTAAGGGAAAATTATTTCTCTACACGTGCATCATAAAATGCTGCATTCATAGTAGTCGCACTTTCAAGCATGAGCACATTTTCAGTAAAACTATAGCTCATTGAGATGCTTCGAATGGGTAGTACAAAGATTAGAGTCATATAATTTGGAGTTTAAGTGGCACTTCTTCACGTTGATTATTTCTCAGAAATTGGCGATACTGCCCAAATGCAAAAAAAAGTCTTTCAAATAACTCCCTAAATAAATGATGATGACATATTTTCTTAATGAAAAGTATATCATTTTAACAAGGAAGAAACGTAATTCATATGCATGGCTTTTGTAACACTTTTCTCGTATGTAATAGTATTAATGATGGCAGTACTCACACAGGAAGCTGTGCATAAGAATCAGACACTGTATTTAGACTGGAGGAATCCGATGAGCTATGAAGCTCTTTCTTCACAGATGTCCAGTGTGGGCGGGTCAGTGAGTTACATTTGTAGGCTCCGACGAGATGACAGAATGAGGGCTCTGCTTAAACGGTACCAGTGTCCCTTTGATCAATTCGGCTGGTTTTCTCTCGAGTTAGTCCGTAACAGCAACGGAACTTTAGACTTAGGTTTCGTTTATGTTGGGTGACCTTCACGGTGGTTACTGCTCCGCTTGCTCGAAACGGATGACAGACGGATGGGCAAAACGGACAGGGCAGGATGCATAAATGCTTTCAACTTTGTCTGGAAATGCATTAAAAATGGATTCCTTCTGTGTAAGAGGAAATCCCAATCCAAGATTTGCAGCGCAATGGTTATGTATACACGATTGCACACTTTATAAAGTACCGTCAAATATCGTGACCGTTATATTAACACTAGATTTGAAGCTTTCGTGACTGCAAGGATTCATATTCTTAGGTTTTTTCGGTAAAGTCACGTAGGTAAAACATTAAAATTAATAAAAGTAAAATAAAATAAAAATCACGACGTTTCGGAGGCAACACAAGCTTCCGTCTTCTGGTGGAACCGTCACAGCCACGACAGCTGTATCAAGTAAATGAGAGATTACAAGAGCTACCACTCCGTTTATATAATGGTTGGAGAGGGGGCCAAGTACGGCACACTTTTTAATAATAAGTGTGCCGGTTCCACCTGAAGACAGAAGCTTGTGTTGCCTCCGAAACGTCGTGATTTTTATTTATTTTACTTTTATTAATTTTAATGTTTTACCTACGTGACTTTACCGAAAAAACCTAAGAATATATTAACACTGTTTTCTCCTTATAGGAATATCAGCTTTCAGTGAAGAATATACCTCAGTGTGAAAGTAAACAAAACATGCACTTGCTACAATTACCCCTCTTTATTTGAATATGTATTAAATACCATGAGTACCGTTTAGTAGACATGCAACGATCCACCCCCCTCTTCCCACCCACCTAGAAATTGGAGCAAATGTTACAATTCGATTTTTCAAAGTCATATTTCAATCTTGTTTTTAGTGTATTGCTCGTATTGTTTATCGTGGTTTCTGTTTCATTTGCACGGTTTTGTTTGTTTCATGGGCCTAGTTGTTTCATAACCGTCACTCTAGCCTGTCTTTCGAATTAATACTAATGATGATTGATTCTCAGAGACACACGCAATTTAATTCAGGAACCATGAGCAAAGGAATACATTTCAAGTGATGCATTGTTAAATGCCAACTATACAGTATGTGTAATAAGTATAACCCGTAAAAACAAAGTTTTTTTACTATAAATCCTTTATATGCGTGGCGGCTAGAGTCCTCTCGTCCTCTGGCTTGAGATGGCTGCCACCTATGGGTCAGATGATTGTCTGCCAGTATTAAACAATTGGTAATTAAATATTTAATTTGTTTTCCCTAAACAGTGTAAAATTTTGGAAAAAAAAATTAACTTACATTAATTGTCTCGCACGAGTCTGTGTGCAAAATGTCAGCTCGATTGGATCACGGGAAGTGGGTTAAAAAACGACCGAAAGGTTTGCACGGTCGTAAGCAAGCAAGCAAGCACGCAAGCACGCAAGCAAGCAAGCGAACTTAATATAAAGGATTTAAAAAGTGCAAGTGTCAGCGTTCATAGCTTCAGTGAATGAGCGCATGTGAATGTCGGCAGTTGGTTTGACTTGCGTTAACCGCCTTTAAGAGATACAAATGATAGCGCTTTGTTTCACAAGAAAGAAAGAAACAATCAGTTATCCTCCCACTTCAATACTTCCATTGTATTCTATAGACATGCAGTGACACCGATGTAATTTTAAAACCCAGAGATGAAGCCAAAGCAAAAGATGGATCTGCTGCCGACGTACCGCGACAGCGTACAATTACAATGCGATGAGTAACAGTGGCTACCTTACAACACGACAGTTGTTTCAGTATGCAGCGCGTAGGTAAAAAGTCTGGGTATATCTCCAGCACCTCAATGTGAATTAAACATCGCAAACAAGCAGTATCGATACGGCAAAACAATGTATTGATAACCCGTGACCGGATTTATTTTCTGTTTTCTCTTTGCTGCACAGCTGAACTTTATTTTTAAATCCTTTATATTAAGTTCACTTGCTTGCTTGCTTAGGACCGTGCAAATCTTTTGGTCGTTTTTTAACCCACTTCCCGTGATCCAATCAAGCTGACATTTTTCACACAGACTCGTTGTGCGTGACAATTAATGTTCGTGAAATTTTTCCAAAATTTTACACTTTTTAGGACAAAAATATTATATTTAATTACCTATTGCTTAATGCTGCCATGCAATCATCTGACCCATAGGTGGCAGCCATCTCAAGCCAGAGGACGAGAGGACTCTCGCCGCCACGCATATAAAGGATTTATAGTGAAAAACTTTGTTTTTACGGGTTATACTTGTTACTTGTTTTATTTTAGTCAACATCACGCTTGCATTTGACACTCTATCCCAGTCTCACGAGATCTCAGCTGGTTTAACATCTACACTTGAACTTGAATGAAAATGATCTGAGGTCCATAATAGAGGTTTTTGGGTTAGATCGCGTAAATTTGTTTTTACACGATCTAACCCAAAAACCTCTAATATGGATGATGTTGGTCGCGAAAGCCTCCGTGTTAAAATGATCTGAGATCATTTCTTCAATCCATCCCTCCTTGTTCAAAGATAAAATACATTCTCAAATGTCCTTAACCATCAAAGGCTTCTGATTTCTGAAACACACCCAGTTCAAAGGTATAAATATATATATAAAACACATTTCATTATATTTTAGAACAAAAACACGTGCAAAGTGTAATTGTATGCTGCTCAGGTAGATGTACACATCATACATGTTAGCACCGCCTACTCATCTATATTGCAAAAGGAGGAGAGTCATACCCAGCTGACAGAAGTGTCCTGTGAAGTGAAGAGGGCAGTCACAGCAGAAGGACATCACCATCTCCCCAGGAAGCAACACATCCCGGCATGTGCCACCGTTTAGGCACACGTGCCGCTGGCAAGGGGACATTGGGACCAGGTGTGGAGGAGGAGGTGGTGGAGGTGGTGGAGGTGGTGGTGGTGGTGGCGTTTTCGTCGTGGAAGGTGGGAAGACATCGGGATCGTCATGGGCGATCATCGTGCTTGAAGTGCTTGGAACAAACACATTCTGAGATGCTGTAATGGGAGGCATTCACACAGCAGGAGAAGAAAGACAAACAAGCACAGTGCAGTCTCAGCGTAAGTGCACGTAGGCGCTTGCCTCTGCAAGTCGTGTGTTTGCATGTATTAACATACACGGCATTCACCAAAACATAAAAAAAAATTGCAGCCTGCAATGTAGGGGGCGGAATTACTAACCGACAAGGTGATTCAACGGAGTGTCGCAATTATTTAATCAAAGTTAACTAAGCGTTACACTTGGGTTTTTTGATGAACACTGCTGTGAATGGCAGCACCTCCAGTGACTGAAGTAGTCACGTGAAACAATAACGTGCAGCAAATGCAAATTTAAAATTATCAATTCAAGACGATGGATGTGTCAGAAAGGTAAGGATCAACATTTATTTTTTACTTGATGCACTTGTTCTTCTTGCTTCGTATGGCATTTTTGGGGGATTGCAACAGAATACAAATTGATGTCGAGAATTGATGCACTGTTACACGTCTACTAAATAATCATTCTTTGGTTCTTTCGGTAAAGTCACGTGGGTAAAAAAATTATAAAATAAGAATAAAATAAAATAAAAAAAATTGAAATAACTAAATTAAATCACATTTCGATTGCAACACAAGCAATCATCAATCGAAACGTCGTGATTTGATTGAGTTATTTATATTTTCATTTTGTACTTTTATTTTATTCTTATTTTTATTTTATTTTCACCTACGTGACTTTACCGAAAGAACCAAAGAGTATAGATCCTTGCAGTCACGAAAACTTCAAATCTAGAAATAATAATTCCTTTGTATTTTACGACTGCACTCTCATGCTGTGTTCCATTGCAGTGGATTGATCATGGCTGATGATGATGATAACTGTGTATACCCATTGCTGTGTAAAGACACAACAGTGGGCATGCACAGTTACCATCATCAGGTCTATCTATATATGTGAAAGACAAAGGCCTCCCCACTTTGTCATTCACATAGATGTGCTTATTTATACGAAACAATTCTAAGGTCAAAGTGTACCCCTTCTAAAATGAGCAGAAGGCATTGATCATCTCTATTGATGGTCTTGATAAGTGGTAGAAATTATATATTTCTATAGTAGGAGACGGTCTATATATATATGAAAAAGAGAACTATCCACAAAAAATATTTACGTTGTCTACCATAGAGGAAAGTGAACTTAGTCAACTATTAGCCAAATAACGCTGAATAATAATGTCAATAAAATTTTCGTGACGAAAATCCAGATATTTCAAGATTTTGTTTTCATTTGTAGAGCGATTAAGGATACGAACATCACGTTGAGTAAATTGGCTGTTTCATTAGTAACTATAGGTAATTGCTGTTACACAGAATATAGATCCATGGAAGGTGGGAATATTTACCAATACTATAATGCCCTCCCCATGGTGTGTTAGTAATGGGGGGGGGTTGTTTGACCGTACTTCAAGGTACTGGGGGACCCAGGACTGGTTCTGCAACGATTCACCACCGATTTTATCTGCGGCTAGGAATCACACTTAAGTCAGCAGGGTAAGACTGCTAATGTTGAAGGAAAGATGTGGACTAGTATTAGGGTTGGAGTGTTTTCTATACAGATACATTTTATCATAAAAAGCAACGTGTCAATGCGTCCAATTTTGTTTTAATCAGTACGGTACATAATACCTGACCGTTGAGCTCAATATTGGGGATGACATGATTATGAGATTAAAACAGTGGAGAGAGAAAATAATAATGTGATTTTACCCACTGCAGAGTAGAATACCAATAACAAAATACATCTTCAGTGATAATTCACACACACCACCATAAACATCTAATTGAAGCTATGTCATGACTCTGCGTCAATTCCGTCCGTATAAATTAAATTCATCTCCATCTCTGATATCGGTGATGTTAATACCTGTCATGTGCCACTAAGCGCCTGGGTAGCCCCAGTAGGCACTTAGCTGGAGACTTGGCAACGGTTCCATGGTTTGACGTGTCCTAACGTGACCTCGTGCCAAGTTGAAATTACATCACCGTCACTAGCACTCGAACAAACACTCCCTGAGTCTCAGTGTATGGATTAATCAAAGGTCTTTCCTTGTGCAGCAAAATGGGTGATGGAGCAATTGACTGCTGGTGCCAAACCATGACATCCTGTCCAGCATTTGACAAGTGCACCATCTAATTCTGAATGCGCATTTTGAAATGTGTAGTGCAAGCTTACTTTGGGATTTCATAAAGAGAGCTTAGATCTATAACTGGACGGCATATTTAAATATTTACGTGCGCATTTTGTGATTCTGACTCAAGCGGTGAACCTTCACAAATTTTTTTGTGACCTAAGGCAAACCGTAATTTGATTGGAGTACATTTTATGTCAATAAATGTTTGGATTTTGAAAGATAGATAAAATGAGTTCACTGGCTCGAATTTGTCCGCTTTGATTAGATATCCGCAATGGGCTCTGGGTGTGATTATTGTCTTATCAAAGAGTCGTTCAGAAAACACTAGCCGACGACCCAGATCCTTTTGAGCTAAACCATGAAGGGGGTACAATCCACGCTATAAAACCGTCAACTTTGCTGTCACACTTCCAATTTCCAAACGGCACAAGTACGTTTTGATACAAAATCCTTTGTTGCACATCTCTCTGATTCTGCCTTTGTATTCGGGAAGACTGCTAATGCCTGAAAGATGTGATCCAAAATCAACATCGGTACTGTTCTCCAAATGTAAACATTTCCAATTTTAAAGTGTTACAACTCTTGCTCCTCAGAGTGAGATGGCTCACCTATGCAGGGAATTTAATGCAACAAAAATATCAGCCGCGCCGTGAAATCTACTCGTAACACAACCACTCATGTGCAACAAACCTGTTGTGGCAAATAAATATTGCGGGGTTCCTGGAATGGGAGCTATTTATAAACACGGCAAGAGAAGTTGTTTAGGCGAAAAGTAGATGCAGCAAAAGCGGTGCTTCTCTATCCAAAGCCACTGGATCGGAAACAAAGCATGACAAGCTGAAAGCTCACTGCAATGTGCCAGTCATCTTCTCCTCTTTGAAATTGTAGAACAGAGACCAATCTGAGTAAAGTGTCCTTTTTCACAAAGGACACACCAATTTCAGGCTAAGCTCTCACCTACAAAATGTAATGCTGAACATCTAACCTTACCGCACCTCCGATTAGCACGGTTGGCTACGCACGATGCGGAAGAATTTCAACATACATACAAACAACTCATTACACACCCGGCTATCTATAAAACAACGCTGGAATGAATGGCTGATGCCGAGTGAGCAGAATTGGCCCAATTCCACTACAATTCAGGCATTGCGTTCAAGCAAGACACTACTATTATTATTACTCAGATTGTTTACAATAAAAAGCCTCACGAAGTCACAACACTGTTTTTCAGGAAGGCCCTGCCAAGGTTGAACCATAAGGGGGCGATGTTGTGAGCTGTAATCCTAATTGAATTATTTGCATGTCATTTTTCAGCACTGGGATGTTTGACCAACAACGGTTGCATTGCGTGTTTTGAGCTATGGCAGGAAACCAGGCCCTGAGGAAGCCCATAGAGGATGGAGGGAGAACATACAAACGCCACACAGAAAGGTGCCTGGGTGAGCTATTGTCACCAGGTCCTTCTTGCTTTAAGGCACGGAGTGTTCTTCTTGGTTCTTTCGGTAAAGTCACGTAGAATGGAAATAATAAAATAATACAAATAAAACATAATAAAATAATTCTCACGACGTTTCGGCCACAACGCAAGCAGCCGTCCTCAGGTGAAGAACAGGTCTGTCAGAAAGACAGCACGGAGTGTTATAACTACGCCACCCTGCCGACATGATGGCACATGGCACCTGGCTTCCACGAAGTATGACAAAGCTAGTCATCATCGATCCCAGTCCGTCAAAATTGATGATTCAGTGGAATTCCAGGCGGTCAGCATCACAATTGAATGGTAGTGCCGGTCCCCAAATCCACAGAATTGGTCCGATTCCACTGAGATTCCACTGTGGTATTCAGGCCAGACAGATCACCTACTGTAATCCCTGGTTATGAACGTGCACAATTCATCATGGCTAATGGACGGAAACTACGAGAAGGCAGGCCCCTGTATGTCAGTATTGTAAAAAAAAATGAGATGATATCAAAGAAATATAGCTTGACATTTGAGATGTATACAAACATGAGAATGTGTGTGCAGGGGAAAAAAAAGTAATGGCAGCACTACGATCACTGGTGCAGTGTCCACAAAACTTTCTGTGAGCAAATGAACCCGCCGCATCTCGCGCAGACTCATCGTGTGAATCATAAAGCATTTGCCCGGAAAGCTCTCTCTTGTGTTTGTTCTCTTACTTTCCACCCACGCGAAAAAAAAATGTGGCCTGCAGCTCTCTCCCAATGCCAAACAGCATGATAGATCTGCTAAGCCCACTAACGACCCGTGTAGCCTCTCCGGGATTAAATATGAAGTCAACGGTTGCTTTTTACTTGTAGAATCAAAGTGACGACTGGAGAGTGGTGATGAATCATCTACACTTGGAGATTTCATATTCAGCCCCCTGGGTATCAGCTGATGATTATTTTGTTGTTGTTACTGTTTTGCACTGCAACCCTTTTTCTTTCTTAAATATCGCTTCCATAAAAGCTCACAATTTGTCTTATTTTCTATGCAATAATACATTACAGTAGCTCATAACCCCGATTTCGATGTGATTATTTAATATCTCATTGTTTACTGGTAAATATATTTCATTGCCAAGAGAAATGAAAGGTACAATCGCTAAAAGCACAGAGGGGCTTTGTGCATCATGCCAATACAGTTCTACGTCACTTTGCTATAAAACCACATTGCCATATTTCTACAGACATTCAATACCCCGATTGATATGGCTTTTTCAAGTACTGAATTTAGCATTTAAAGTACATATTAAACAATGCTTTCAAACTATAGCATCTGGTAAAAGGAGCGAGATTAAAAAGTAGAAAAAAACCGGTACATAT